TGTAGTCGAACGGTGAGACGGACGTGTAGTTCAGTTTTGGGCACGCGTACGGTGCTGCAGGGATTATATATAGGTGTAGTAGTACCTCTTCGGGCTCTTGGATACCTTTTTCTTGCTACGTGTGCGTGTTCTTTAGATCCTCAGATGGCTCTAGCACTTTCGTGACCACGGGCTGAGAGTCTTTGCTAGATTTTGGCATTTAGCAACTGGCATACGGTTTAATGTGAAGTCAACAACAACAACATTCTGTGACTGGGTTTGTTTTTTTCGCCACAAGTGGTTCTCTGCTGTCAAAGATCTTCCAAGCGTGCGCGTATCCCCATAAATCACGGCGGCACGGATGGTGCAGCAGTGGGTCCATGTGTGGGGCTCACAGGGATGGGGACGCGGCATATGTAAGGGTGACGAAAAGGAGTACAGTAGAAAACTACTGCTGTACAGCAGTAGCAGCTATGCGGAGAGAAATAGACTGCTGTACAGCAGTTTCTGAGCAGTTCTATTTGTTTTTCTCCCCATCATTGGACTCTGTCGTCTGCCCCTCTGGCCCCTATCCTCCCCTTCAGGCGCGACAGCAACCGTCCGCACAGAGGATGTACCTGTGCAAGCAATACTTGTTGGCACATCTTCTCCATCCACCTCATCCTTGGACAGAGCATACGGCAAGCGCATATGCTAGCGACGCTAGATGCGAAGACGCTGACGGGAGACCGCCTCACAGAAGCACCAGATCGACGAAAACAACTGCCCGCTCATAATAATAAGAGAATCGAGACCATCATCCGCTACATTATCGCACAAAATACGTAAAATCGTGATATATTTTACCGGTCTGTAGACTATGCATACAGTGTCGGCATTCGTCAGGATTTTGGTTGACCGGCCATAACTTTACGAGTTTTTCACTTTTTTCACTTTTTTGTTTTAGTAGTAATCTACATCCTATTTGCCATAAGAGTTGTTCAGGGACCAACTCGATTTGAGGCGTTCCTGGAATTTCATGGTTTTCGTATAGGATTTTCAAGGCATTTCTGGGGGGGGGTGATGATAACTCTTTGTCTAATATTTCGGTAACCACGAACTCAAAGCATCCCGCATCTCCTTTTTTTTGCTTTGCATCGGCGGGGCTTGAGTTGTTGTTGTTGTTGTTGTTGTTGTTGTTGTTGTTGTTGTTGTTGTTGTTGTTGTTGTTGTTGTTGTTGTTGTTGTTGTTTCCTTCACATTAAACTCGTGTCAGTTGCTAATCCCAAATTCTAGCAAAGTAGACTCAGTCCGTGGTCACAAAAATGCTAGAGCCATCATCAGAAGATCTACACCTACTACACTATTAGCAAGAAAAGGGTACATACACAAGCCCGAGGAGGTACACCTACAATTCCTGCAGCACGTTNTTCACATTAAAAACCGTTCCGATCTTTCTCTACCCAGCACCTTCGTATGTCCGTACTGATCCAACACTCGACGCGATCGATTCCCGTGGTCGCAGGCTAACTTACCCTGAAATGTACACTCAAATAAAATGGCCCCGAGGGGTCCGCAAGTCAATAGAAATCAACGACAGATGTTCTGAAGTCCTCCACTCCCTCTGCGCGCTATGCGAGGTAACAACTGAGACTAGGGGTCACCATCACGGGCCGGAGAGAATGAGGTACACCCCCTTGGTTCAATCTTGGTACTTCACAACGCAAGCAGAAACAAGGCCATCTGGCACAGAAAAAGAGAGAATAAGAGAACAAGAGAAAGAGAGAAGAAAATAAAAGGAAACAGCAAGGAAAGAGAAAAGGAAATAAAACGAGCGAGGACAAAAAGGGACCAGGCCGAAAACAACAAGAAAAAAGAAACAGAAAAAAGGCACAGCAGTAGTAGAGAAGAACGAAGATACTCCTGAAAAAAATAAAAATAGTTCATCGACGAACAAGCGACGCACGCTGCAGGAGGGAGGCATGGAGGAACGATGACCCAGAAAGGAGTCTACGAGGAGAGGCTACTTCAGGTCGTTTCGGTGGCTACGCAGGTGGCCATATCAAGGAGGGTACAAAGATACAAGCTCGCACTATGTGGACGACAAGAAGCGGAGGACAAACGAGCAAGATCGACACCGAACACATCGACACCAATGATTTGGGGATGTAGTGTCGATGCACTGTATGTAATAATAGTAGGAATGTAATGGATTATCTTATGAGCGTAGGTATAGTTGTCATTTGGTAGGTACATCACATATATATACTAAAAGAAATGTCGTTTTAGTAGTAGATTATGTTCACAAGATTTCGGTTCAACGACAGGAACTTCTTGTCAGAGTTTTGGAGAGACAAGGTTTTGGCATTTTCACAAAGGAAGTAACAGGAGAACGGAGAAAATGTTGAATTCAATCAATAATGTTATGATTTCCTTCAGTGTTAAGTTCGGCATTCATTGTTATTATTGGTAGGTACGTACTAACATGACGTGCATGTACAATATCGTATTCGTACAAGTATGAGCATGAAGAAGATAGAAATAGTAAGGGGTATACATTGAGTGAAACGTTTTAGGACTTTAGTGCTAACATATTCAATTGTCGGAGGGCAATAATAATAATAACAATAAAAATATGTGTATAAAATATATGGCGCCTTCCTGGGGCGGGACAGGAAATGTGGGCCATGCGCATCGGCTTGTTTCCCATGTATGTTTGATTACTTCAATCGACTGGAGGCCCTTCTGTACAATGACCCCACGATACCCACGCACGTTGCACTCTTCATTTTTGCCACTACTGAACGTCATACGTACGGCCATACATAAGCACACAGAGAATCCGCCAGCGAAAAGGGAGAAAAAACAAAATACACCACGCACTGCAACAGTGGATGAAGCTTATTTTTTTTTTCAAAGCACCCGTATTCGGCCTGACGAATGCCGGCACTGGAGCCTGTACTACAAATAGAGAGCTGTGATCGGAGCTGTGATCGGAGCGATAGTCCCGAAGACCCTTCCTTGCCTTTGAGCGAAATTTTCAGTTTTGCACACGGCAGACGAACCACCCTTCACTCCCAATATACTGGGAACCACACGCACCGCAATCACAACAACATCAAGCACCGAGGCAGTGCGTTCGCATCGGCTCCCGTATGCGCTTTCTCTGCTCTCCACCGCGGATGCAACACCGGGATGATTACATGTTTGAATCTTCAGTAGATTGGATCTGGAAAGGATATCTGCCCCACGTCAGAGAGATTAGGCATGGATGGGTGAAAAGACTAGTATTGTACTACGTGAGCGTGCATTACTGAAAAGCGTGCTTTGAGGGTGGGCTGCCTGTGTCTTCCTGCTGGCATCT